TGGTCCCAGGGCCCTCTGCTCCTAGACTGAAAAGTTAATCATTCCCCTCCTTACTGTAAAATGTCCACCTTTAGATTTCCATCCCTCACAATCAGTCCTGATAACAATTATTCACTATTGCATCACAAGAGACCCATCTGCATTTCATTTCATCAGCCCTTCCTAGACAGGTTGGATACTACTCACTGGAGACTCTACTGTCCTCCATGCCCTCTGGATCTAGGTTCCCTCTTGAAAGCTTGTAAGCCAGTCACTTCTTGCCTTTGTAGTCCCCTCCCCCCCCCTCCATTTTGGGTAGCCAGTGTCCATGTTGCCCATCCCTGTCTACTCTTTGTGTGGATTTGTGTGGAGGGGGTGGAAATGATTCTTGCAGTGAGGAATGGTTTCATCTTTTGAGCTACTGCATCCATAGGTGTAGGTCATGTTCATCAAATTATATCAGATTACTCTTTTTTTTCCTCTTCTTTTTCTTCTAGTTGAGCTCTGATCATCCAGTCATTGAAGCCAGGTCAAGTGGGTGTTATGTACAAGTGTGGGTGTTCTTGTACATATGCCCTCCCTTATCAGCTGGATGCTTCACTCTCCACTCCAGTCCTCTGTGGCTATGTCACTGACTCTGGGCCCAAGAGTCCCCAGGTCTTGCCACACCGTTGGCCAACCAGGTCTCCACCCAGGTTCACAGGGGTCTATTGAACGCTGTAGGGCTTAGCTCGCAGCTTCATTGCTGTTTTTCCCTCACTTCCCGTTATGGGTGACGTGTGTGGTCGCCAATCAGAGCATGTATTCCCATTGCGTCTTAGTCTTGGAAGAGGATTTGCACTGAGGGGACCTGACCACTTGCCTTGATGTCTCCTGTGCTCGTTTGATTTCTTGACTGCTTCTTCCATGAGTATTGATGGTTGATCCAAGAAGAATGAAGAATAATGAAGTCCCTGACAACTTCAATCTTTTCTCTGTTGATAAGAATGTTGTTTATTGGTACACTGATAAGGATTTTTGTTTTCTTTACATTCAGATGCAATACATACTGAAGGCTGTGCTCTTTAATCTTCATCAGTATGTGTTTTAAGTCCTCTTCACTTTCAGCAAGCAAGGTTGTATCATCTGCATATTGCAGGTTGTTAATGAGTCTTCCTTCAATCCCGACGCCATGTTTTTCTTCATAGAACCCAGCTTCTCGGATGATTTGCTCAGTAAACAGGTTGAATATGTATGGTGAAAGAATACAACCTTGTCACACACCTTTCTTAATTTTAAACCATTCGGTGTTCCCATGTTCTGTTTGAACAACTGCCTTTTGGTTTTTGTATAGATTCCTCTTGAGCACAATTAAGTGTTCTAGAATACTCATATGTTGCAATGCTGTCCATAGCTTGTCATGATCCACATAATTGAAAGCCTTTGTGTAGTCAATAAAGCACAGGTAAAGATCTTTCTGGTATTCTCTGCTTTCAGCCAAGATCTATTGGACATCAGCAGTGATATCCCTCGTTCCATAACCTCTTCTGAATGCGGCTTGGACCTCTAGAAGTTATCTGTCAATGTATGCTTGCAGCCATTTCAGTATTACCTTTAGTAAAACTTTATTCGCATGGGATATCAAAGATGTTGTCCGATGATTTCTGTATTCCATTGGATCACTTCTCTTTGGAATGGGCAGAAGTACGGATCTCTTCCAATGAGTTGGCCAGATATTTGTCTTCCAAATTTCTTGGCATAAATGAATGAGTGCCTCCAGTGCCACCTCACTTTCTTGAAAGATTTCAATTTTTATTCCACCAATTCCAGTGCTTTGTTCTTCGTCAATTCCTTCAATGCACCTTGAACTTCTTGCTTCAGTATCATTGGCTCTTGATCATATGTTACCTCTCGAAATGGTTGAATATCAATAATTTCCTTTTGGTACAGTGACTCTGTGTATTCCTTCCATCTTTTTTTTTTTTTTTTTTTTAAATATTGTGAATTATGTGCTAGTTTATATGGGAGAACATTAGCTTTACAATCATCCTATCATATATCGTTTCATTTCCATGGTTACAATCCCCTCCATGCATCATCAAGCAACCAACAGATATACCCTGCAAGCCTGCCTCCTGGTCATCAGCATACAGTCCCTCTCCTTCTTTGGGTCTACAGTTCCCAGCCTCTCCATCTCTCCAT